GCGAGCCTGCAGCTCTCCCACCCTCCTCGCTGCAGTCGCTGCCAAAAGAAATAGTGCCTCCAGCTGGATGACTCAGGAGGTTCGAAAGGTCTGTGCAGGGCTTTCTTCAAGTTCAGGGCAGAACTTCTTGTAGCCTTAGACAGTACAGACCCTCATAACACGACAATGCACAAAAGGCCAGTGTGCATTGAGCCTGCATTCCACTCTTCTAACTTTGGACGACTGTATCTCGAGCACCGCACGCACCTAAATGGCTGTGGAGAGAGATCAAAAGCATGATTTATATAAATCTGTGAGATGATTTTTGAGTAAATGAATACGAAATACAACCCAATCCACACGTCAGGTGATTAACAATCTGTAACTAAATGCAAAAAGACGTATAACAATCTGTTTATTTTCAGAGTTCCTTGCTGACTCACCACGCACCGTGCAGCAGGTGTGATCCCTGTCCTCACACATACAGAATAATAGTTACCTGAGCCAGAGTGAAAGGCCAAGTGTGTTTTTACAGCTGTCTACGTAATGAGCTCTTTGGGGGCCTGTCAAGTCAACGGTTAGCTAACGTCTCAAATTGTGTGTGTGTATATATGTGCATGTATGTATGCGTGTGTGGGTGGGTGTTGGCGCAGGTTAGGTAATGTCTCCCTGTGCCACCTTCCACTCCAGGCAGATTTAATGTCATTATGACTGAAATTACACAACCTGACCTGAGAATTAAAGAGACAGAGTGTCGAGAGAAAGCATGACATTTAAAAGAGGAATATATAAATAAATCATCTATTTTTTTCTTCACTGAATCTGGTTTTCCTCCCGAGGTCAGTAAATTTTAAAAAGGGAGAAGCTGTAAAAGACAACGATCTCTATTACAAAGTAGTTATAGTAATTAGTGGCACAGACATTTCAAAGATAAAGGGTTCAACTATTAAGACTGGGTATATCCATCAAAAAGCATTGCTAAGGTTGTATGTCTTTGTAAAATATATCATTAAAGGCTGTGAGATGGAGGAAATAAGTCTTTAAAGTGACACTGTTGTTCGCTTTCTGTTGAACAGGTAACCAAGCAACATAATCATTTCACAAGTCATTGCAGCAATACGTAAGTGTCGCAGAGAAAATTCATTCATTTTGTTATTTTCATTGGCTTGGAAGAACCTGTCGGGAAAATGTTCCTTTAAGGTGATGCACTCAATTCATCTACATAGAGTGTTAAGAGTGATGACATTGTGGTAATGTTACTTCAGTTAATTTTAATCTTGACAAGGTCCACTTCCTGTTTCTGGACTTGTTTTTGGCGTGTAGATTGGAACCACTGTCCCTGTTCAGTGATTGTTTTAGACGTTGCAGTTGTGCATATATGAGGATGTAAAAGCTATTTTCATTCTGGCAAAATTCTGCATGAAAAATACTTGACTTTTCTTGGCCTGCATCCAAAAGTTGTCAAGTTATATCACTCAAAACTGCAAATATCCACCTCGGAGTCTGGTTATGTTTGAAACGGAACTAGTTTGTGTGACGTCTAAATGGCCACAGTCAGAGTAGAGGCAGTAAAAAGAGAGAGTAAAAAGCTGGCTGTCATAGAGACGAGGGAGATGCGATAATTGTTTAATCGTTAAAATATGCGGATAATGATGCACATCTTCTCTCCTGGAAGGTTTTCATAGTGTTACACTTGTTTGTACACACAACAAGTGACTGAAAAAGTTGCGCAAAGAATGAAAAAACAGCCCAGCAGTCGGGTGACCATAATTCAATATCAGGAAAACAACGTCAAGTTGATGTAGAAAACAGACGACAGCCAATACAATAGTCATGAGCAAAACCCAACATTTGCTAAACATCTGCTAAATGTATTCTAAACGTCACATTGTCACTTAGCCAACGCTTGGTTTTGACGTCAACCTGACTTTCATTTCCAAACAAAATTTAACGTCTGTGCGATGTTACGAGTCGTTAGAGTCTAGCGGCTTTCTGATGTTACATATGTCCGGCGTCAGCTGGGTGATATGAGACAGAGAAAGTCCGAACACCATTTACTTTCTCACCTCCGCACAGCTGGACAATCACATTAAGTGGGTGTGATTTTCGGTTTGCAAAAAGTTACAAAAATTATCGGATGCAGCCCCCCCTCTATTCTGACATCCAGAAGGTGTTGAGGGAGGGGGTTTACGAAGCCATTCGACCATCTGACAAGCAGTTCTGATGATTATAGTGGCAACTGGGAATCACCAAAGTGAGTGTGACTTATCATCTGGACGCCATGGAATGTCTGTGCAAGATTTTGGTGCCAGTCTGTTTAATAGATGCAGATGAACCGAAGTAAAGTTAGAGGATCGCCAGAGTCATTCTGGACCACAGTGGTGGACAGACGGACTGACAGACCAACATTTCCATCCAACTGTCTAAACAAAACCCCTCTGCGATGAAATCTGAATTATAGCCTGAGGGATGATTGTTTTTTAATTGTAGACACCCATCGCTCCATCTGCTCACATTTAAGCCATGTGCAGTCATGACATCACGCTACTGAGTCAGCAGATAGCACCGGTCCTGTGTGGCACGTTAGGCAACAAACCATTACTCTGTCACAGTACATCACAGCTACTCAATCCACTTCACAGCCAATCAGCCCTGAAGTGTTCATGAGGAGAGAGGGAGAGAGTGTTACATCCCATCGTTAATGACTTACAGACAGAGAATAACAGGTAAATTATGGAGTTAGAGCTTTCAGCCTGTTGCTTTACACGTATATGAAACGGTGAGATATATTCCACCGGGGGAAAGTCAGACCTGGCAGAGGCTGCCGCAAGCACATCTGGCTGCGGGGTTTATGCTGGCTGGACCTGGTGTTTTTCACCACAGCTATAGCACGACTTGCCCTCCTCTCACACTTCACACCTCACGTCCTTTTACCATAGCAAAGAGCTGCTCTTTGTCCATGTTGGAGACCTTTATGTTCTAACTTCATTCGCTCCTGCAGTTTCAAAAAATCATACTATACTACTGGTTAAACTCAAGGCTGCAAAGAAAAGCCAATGCTGTTCTTCTCAGTCACCAAAAACGGTTTTCATCTCTCATCTCTCAACTCTTGATGAGCATTTGTGGTGTTTTTTTGTCAAGGCAGTATGTTTACAGGAGTCTAGGATTAGAGATGCTGAGCCACTATAATAAGTAGGAAAACAATAATTAAGCTCTTACAAAAAAAAACCCTCCAGTGACCTATGGCAGTATTGAGGTTCTCAAATATACCTTGCAAGTAAACATGGGGTGTACAGGGCAAACCAAAATTAACAAGTGCTTCCTGCCAGTTTAAACAGGCCACAGTCCCCTGCCCCTTTTCCCACATTACTCAAGTGAACCTCAGTTCGATTGTGGCCGAGCTGAAACATGAATCACTGGATGTTGCTGTCACTGATCTGAAGGTCTAGATAGTGCTGAGACTGACAGATGTTAAAAGATTAAATAATAATGTAGGTTATGTATCTCATTTCAATCCACTGTAACGGTAAGGCATCTGTAGCGTTTCTGTGACTAACATTTATTGCCAGCAGACACAGATCAACATTAGAGACTGTCTTCCCAAGAAGAACGACAGCATCAGTCCTAGAAGCAAAACAACATCTGTTTAAGTTCAAGTGACAAAGCCTTCTAGCAGCTGCAGTAACTATGATGGGAGTAAAGAAGGAAGTCAGATGATGGTATTACAGAGCAACAGAGTCAGAGCAGGGAGGAGGTCTATGGAGTCATAGTAGTGCCATAAAAAAAAGAATATGGGAAAATGGGAAGTTATGTTATTATTTTTTTTTCCGGATGTCATGTCTGGGGCTCCACACTTGCCTTTTCAAGGTTGCCCCACACAACCTCATCATTGCTGTATTGGTCAGCACAGATATTTGCCATCATACAGTTTTACAGTTACTTCTCAGTTAAATATTCAAAGGCCTACTCCTGTCTTCAAGCTTTCATGGCTGTGTTTAGCTAGTTGCATACCTGTGCATCTATGTGCATAGCGAGGACGGATGAATATATCAGACCAAAAATGTTTCAGTAAATTGGTCCAAGACTCCTCCTTTCCCTTCCCCTCTCTTTCGCACTCATTCTGTTATTTTCTCTCAGTGTGTTTCTGTTTGTTGGATGTGGTGACATCTGTGGTACCGTGCCCTGCAAATTTGTCCTCCAACAGTTTAACAACAGTGCTGGTGATTTATGGCTCCGCATGTGGAAATATTTGTCTGCTGGAGGTCTCCCTTGACACAAGAGAAAAGCAGAGCAATGGAGCTGGTCAGTTTGAAAGATGCCTAAAGGGAGAATACGACATAAGCGAATCAGATGTATGTAAGACTCAGTCATAATTTCTTGCCTCTCAAATCAGAGGCAGCAGCCACTTTATGCATTAACTTCAGGTTCCTGAGGTGAAAACAGCGAGTGATTTAGAGCAAATGTTCCATGCTCATAACTTGCAGCCATAGGGACGGAATAAGGGATTTGGGTGGATTCTTGAAGGAAGTTTTTGTTGGAGATCAGGTTCCAAACATCCCACAAGGCCTGTCATGTTCCAGCACTGAGAAAGAGAGAACTGCTATGAAAGTATCATTCAGCAGGAGATCAGGGCTGTCGCCACAACCTGCTGCAGGGAGGTTATCAGCTGTTTTCTGCAACAACACATCTGCACATATCTGTGTCACATATTAATATCACAGATGGTGATTTTCAGTAAGTTGTGCCTCTTAATCTTCATTTTTGTGTACCCTATACTTTTCTAGATTCTACTTTGAACCACAACATGTAAATTATAGGCCACATTTTTGGTGGAGTACCTATATTAAAACAACAGGGTAAACCTAGACAATCGAATATCTTTGAGTCAGTGGTTGCAGACCTCAAATATTTAATGGGAGGGGTTGACATGTGTTTTGAATTAATGACAAAACCACTCCCTTTCCTTCACAGGACCACAATAGCACTCTGCTTTGGTACAATAGGATACTGACAAGACTGGGACTGTTCAAAAAAAGCATTTATTGAAGTTCGATGCAAGCCAGTCGCATTTCATTACAACACACAGGTTTACAAAAATAATGTCTCCCTTTTAGAAAAGCTTTTTTTTATGAGATATAAATGATTATCTATGTGTGTATCATAAGACTCAAAAACTCTCCAAAGTCATTTCTCTGCTTTCACAATGGTTTATAGTAGAAACTGTAAAAAAAAAACCCAAAAAAGCCCAACATTTTGGCTGCAGGAAAACAAATTGATTGACTGCTACTTTGGTACCAACATGGTTTTTTATGTGTTGAATAAGTGTCATTAACCCTCTAGCGTTCACACCAGTTAAAGGAATAGTTCAACATTTTGTGAAGTTGGATGCAAAGATTGATACCTCTCTAATGTCGGTGAATAAAGTACAAAGCTCTAGCTTAGCACTTTATTCACCGACATTAGAGTAGCGATTAGCTTAGCTTAGCATAAATACTGGAAGCAGAGGGAAACAGATAGCCTGACTCTCTATAATGTACATTTCTGTTTATGTACAGATGAAACAAATTCAACACAACATGTAAAGTAGTGAGATTTAGGCAGAGTCAGGCCAGCTGTCTCCCTCTGCTTCCAGTCTTTATGCTAAGCTAGGCTAAGCACCTCCTGGCTCCAGCTCCATACTCCATTCTGCTACTTTACTTCGTCAAACACAGATCATAAAATTACAGTTTTGCCCAGTACATGAACAAAGTCCTCAGAGTACCTGCTCTGAATAACCAAAATATAAGCAAAGTGACCTTATTTTTTTTACACTTTAAGAATATATAAAGTGCTATTCACCAGAAAAGGATGTGTCAATGTGTAAATTTCTTTCTGTGCCCATATAGCAGTGTATGGGAATGTCAACTTTAGAGTAGTTTGCATGGGAAAACACCACTTTAGTCCAAATCTGTGGTTAACAACCCCTGTTATACCCCATTAGGTTTTGGTGGCTTGACAACAACCTCAAACACATTCTTTACTTCCAGTACATTCAACTAGGCAAGACTTTAAACTCAATAGTGGATTTGTTTTTATTCCTATTAACCCTAATCATCTAGGGTAAGTTTTTTTTTCCTGGTAAAAACTTATTCTGTACTTGTTATTTGTATATGGACTAACAGAGGGGAAGGTCTGTTGTATTTGGGTCTTATACAAGAAAAGACCTATCAACATTAGTTACAGTATGAGATCCATGTGTTGTATGAAGACCACAACAATATAATAGTCTGTAATATAGTCTGCGGCATCAGTTCTTGGTTCATTTCTTGTGGCCATGTTATTTCATCAGGGGAATGCCTCCTTTCAAACCCCATCTCCAGTTCAATTTGTGGCATTTCTTCATAAAGTTATCCATTGTCTTAGACAATCCGGTACAAATGGATTATTGCGTCTCCAGTCACAATGGATGACATTACATCAGTTCATATCAGATTCTTTAGTGTCTTTGTACTGGACATGTCACCTCTAGTCTTTGTTTCTGTCCATCTCTCTACTGCCTCTTGGACCCAGTAGCAGGCGTCACAGTCTGCTGCTGGGTGTTGATTTGGTAATGGGGGTACGGCAACCCTGGAGGTCCAGGGGTTCCTGGTGGTCCAGGTGGCCCTGCTGGCCCTGGTTTTCCCCTCGGTCCTGTTGGCCCAATGATGCCCGGTAGCCCTGCCTGACCCATGATCCCCGGAGGCCCTGAAGGTCCTGGGAGTCCATCTTTACCGGAGGGGCCCATGTCACCTTTCTGGCCCCTCTCACCACGTGGCCCTGGTGTGCCGAAAGACCCTTTAGCTCCCTTGATCCCTACTGCCCCTCTATTGCCACTGGGGCCTGGTTCACCCTGTGCTCCTTTGGGCCCAAGAGACCCCTTCTCTCCGGCGGATCCACGGCTTCCTAAGGGGCCCCGGTCACCTTTGCTCCCAGTCAGTCCCATGGGCCCCTTTGGACCGGTTTCACCACGGTTCCCTTTAGGCCCCGGGCGTCCAGGAGCACCTGTTGATAAAAGACAGTGAGATGAAGTTAAGAAGAAGAGTGTGCACACATGGTGAGATTTGATCTTTACATGACAATATAATCACTATACCTTTTAGTATAGTGAAGTTCTTAATGAGCTGAGTATGGTGAACGTCCACCAGCTTCATCTCCTCCATCACCATGGACAGGTTCCTGACATCCACATCCAGTCGGACATTTAACAACATATTCTGCTGCCTCAGCGTGTCGGCTAAGTGGAGGAGCAACAAGACTGTGTTGTTCAGGTTCTGCAGAAAGTATTTGAGGATAAAGAGAAGAAGCAAAAGAATAAAACCAAGAACATAAACACAAAGTACAAGGAGGAAACAGTAGGAGGATAATGAGGAGATAAAGAAGAGAAGGAGAAGTGAGTAAGATGAAATAGAGAACATTTTCAGGGTGTAAAAAGCTTCTTGGTAAAAACATAAATTCTTCATGTGCAGGACTACAGCTCATTTTGTGCACTCCTTTCTTGATCCATTTATTGAATAATTCTGAGTTGTTGAGTGTTTCCAACCTGTAGATCCTCTGTGTGTCTGCCCATGCGGCTCTGGCAGGACGAGCTCTCGATGTTGATGTATTTGTACATGCTCTGGACGTGGCTGACGGTGGCGTTGATGCTGGAGGAGACCGTGTCGATCTCCATCTCGATGGAGTTCAGACGACCATCCAAAGCAGAGAAACGTTCACCTGTTCGGTTCTCGTAGTACCTAAAGAGAACGGTTTAGGATGGTTACAACGTGAGTTTTGACAATATTCTAATAATATTCTTTCTTTCTGTGTCTGTGTGTCCATTGTGTGTGTGTGTGTGTGTGTGTGTGTGTGTACATTATCAATTTGTCATATTGTGGGGACATCTGTTCACAGTCTCACATGTGGGGACAAAAATCAGGTCCCCTCATTTCTATTTTTGGTTTTAGGGTAAAGGTTAAGGTAAAGGGATTAGGCATGAAGGTTTACAGTAAATCTCCAGGGCAGTACAATGTTCTTGTAAATATAATAGTATAAATTTGTATAAGTGTGTCACCTGGAATGGTAGTGAAGGTCATGCATGTTCTCCTCGTGTTCATCCATGAAAGACGTCACATTGTCGAGCTGCATCTGCAGGTTCATCACCTGGAGAACACAAAGACACATGTTGTAGCTCTGTGCTTGTGAGGAAACTCATTGAGATAATACATTAATTAGCCCTTTACCCTATGCTAACTACATGGTTAAACCCAACCCTTTCTTCAGCTTTATCCTTTAAATTAAAAAAAACAAACATTGGAAGAAGTCAGGACTAGACAAAATGCCCTTACTTTCCAAAACTGTGGGCACTTGGTCTCCAATTTGGTGTACAAGTACAAGAGCACACACACACACACACACACACACACACACACACACACACACACACACACACACACACACACACACACACACACAAAAACAGGATTCCACTGATAGGTTTGTGAAACACAGATGTTTAAACTGCTGATAGACTCGTTCAATCTCAGGGTGTTTTCACACCTTCGCTTTTTAGTCCGGTTAAAACCGAACCCTGATTCATTTTCACCCTTGGTACGATTCGGTCGGGCAGGTTTGAAAACAGTAATCGCACTCGGGTGGGAACCGAAACAATTGTACCAAGACTCTTTCGAGGAGGTGTTCTCAGTCCCACTAGCAGGTGAACTTACGAGTTTGAGCTCGACAGTTCCTGTAACCTTCTTCCTATGTTTACTTTCCTGCTGCAGCCAGACAACCTGACCAATGAGAGGAGTGAACGTTCTCACCTGGTTTTATAAGATGCATTTTTGGTTCAGTTTACATGTAACTCATCAACTGAATCGGACCAGAGCAAACGAACTCTAGGTGTGAAAACACACTCTTTAACGATGCTGATTGATACAAGGTCTCTGTTTCTTATCAGTAGTTTGTTTTGGCAAAGGGCTTTCCCCTTCCCTTTTAAAGAACGCACACACACACCTGCTGAGTTAGGTCATAGTACACCTCGGTGGACATGGCGATCCTCTGGTGATCTGCTATGATGTTGTTTTGGAGGAGGCGCACAGTTTGGGTGGTGCTGCTTGTGTTGGATTTGATGGCGCTCAGGACTCGGCTGTAGTTCTGCCAGTCGCTGGTCAGCTTCTGGAGGACCAGAGTCTCCTCATCTGCTTTCCTCTGCAGGGCATCTATCCACATCGTACTACAGAGCCGAGGGAAACGCACAGGACATGTGAGATAAAACATTACTCTGTGCTCACATTATGCTGTTCTAGACATGCTAGAGACGCGGCTCTGGGGAAGGCAATGTCAGTGTGTTAGTACACCACATTAGTCCACAGTGAAATTACTCAACAACTAGCCATGCAGTTTTGTGCAGACAGTTATTGTCCCAAGAGAATGAATCCTGATGACTTTGGTGATCACCCAACCTTTCCTGAAGCGCCACCAGGAGGTTGACAGTTTTGGTTTTGGGTGAAATGTCTCAACAAACATTGAATGGTTTCCCATGAAATTTTGTTCAGACTTTCTAGACTTTTTATCGCTTTGAAGATCCTCTGACTTTTCATCTAGTGCCACCGGGAGGTCAATTTTTTTTTGTTGTTCAGTTCTTGACAATGACATTCCCATCAGCGTCACCTGTACGTTGTGCTTTGTGCGAATTGGCAAATGTTAGTATGCTCTAAACTAAGATGTTGAACATTACCTGCTAAACATCAGCATGTTAACAATTGTAACTGTAGCATGCTGACTTTAGCAAACGATCAGGAAGCAGACAAAAAGTGTTTGTTCAAATGGTTTGTGAAAAACCCACTTTAACTATCTCGCTAAATATTTCCCCAAAGTGCCTTTTCTATTGTAAACAGGAAATAATGATGGAAAAATATGTTTTCTTGGTAACTAATCATGTTCACATTGCAAAAGATATCACCCACCCAAGTTTTTCCAAACAACTAAAAAAAAAAAAAAAAACACTCTTTCAGTCTCTATTCTAGATTTAAATCAGCATTATGTGTCCCAGCTGTGCCTTTTTCAAACAAGAAATCCCTGTTGTTTTTCTTACTGTACTTTGACTTCATAAATAATGGTTTGCATATGAGGATTGTAGAAGAACTTGCAGCTGTGGCTATGAAACTGGCTTCTTGCCTGCTCTCAGCCATCGATTGAGTTCCTGCTCAGCCAGTTCACTAAAAGTTAATGAACACATACGATATAGCTGATGAGAAATGATAATAATCTGGTAGGTGTGTGAGACTGGATGTATGCTGAGAAATACATGATTGAAAATGGACTCATGATCTGAAGACTAACTGTAGCATACAGTCGATATCTATGTTTTACACCACAGTTTAAGTATAACACTGTATATTATCTGTTCGTCTGTCCCTCACCTGAGAGCCACTGTGGTGTTAACTTGCTGCGCTGTGGCTTTGATGTCGTACTGATCCTCTGTCAGAGTCTTCATCTTCTCCTCAGTTTCCTCGATCACGTCCTTCCAGCCCTCCAACCGATCCATGTATCTTTCCAGGGACTGGTTGAGCAGCTTGATCGACATGAGGTGGTTTTGCATGTCGCGCATCAGCCGGTTGCTGGTGGTCCTTAGAGTGGCCTGGGCCTGGGAGGCCTGGTCCAGGACCTGGAGGGGGGACAGCGATCAAGAGAGAGTTAGTGATCAGAAGTGAACGGAGTGATGGCTGCTGCTTTTCTGTGTTTTATTTTATTATTAACTGAAAATCCCATTTCTTATTGGTTGGTTGGTTGATGTCACCTTTGTCTCTCACCATACCTGCTCTTGTCCCAGTATCATTCTCTGGATGTCTTCAAACTCTCTCTTCAGCCTGCTGATCTCTTCACTGTACAGAGTCACATCAAGACAGCCCGAACAGTTAGAGGTGGAGCTCAGATCTGAGAGAAGGAGGAGGGCAGAGGAGAGGGAGGAAACAGAGACAGTGAGGCAGTATGGGTAAAAAGTTGTAGATGACGGTGTATGTTACACATCAACGCTTCTGGCAACCATATATGTGTTTAGTAAGTGTTGGACATGGAGGACAAGAAGTCCTTGTGTGTTGAGAAAATTGGAGGTTTACGTGGCTTCAGAATAACAACTCTACTACCTGTGGTGATATAATTTTGTCAAGGTCAAGAATAAACTTCTGACCAATGTCTTTTTTTTTATAATTCTTCATAGTATCAGAAAACAGCTATTTTATGCTCTTTTGATGCTATAAATGCATCTTTTAAGAATGTATAAAATCATCCAAGTGAGTCGGAAAGTAAATTAAATTTACCATTTTCATTTACAATTTTTTGTTACATAAAGACAATTAATTTTTTTTGAGCGTGTAAATGTTTTTCTATTGCTCTTGTCAGTGGTGGAAGAAGATCCTTTACTTTAGTAGAAGTAGCACTACCACAGTGTAGAAATGCTGTTACAAGTAACAGTGCTGCTTTCTTTACTTGAGTAAAGGTAACGCCTTAAATCCCCCTATTTACCATTTATAAGCTGTATATACACATGTAATACATGGTTTACAAGAAACTATAGTGAACATATGTATTTATTAATGCATTTGTTAACAACTATAAGTCCTGCTGTGAGAAACAATGACTGGAGGCTGCTGTATAAACAGATAATGAATAACAACAGTTCAAATAATATAAAATATAAACAATTTGCAAGTCAATCCAGCTTCTCTACCGTCTATTCCCTGTTGAACTCTGGTGATCTTCTTGTGGTAGATGGACTCCTCTTCGGACAGGCTGTCAACCTTCCTGAACACTGGACACACAGGGAAGTCGATGAAGTTAAAGGCAAACGTTCAGCAATTTGAATAAACACATAATATTTATCCAGAAATCAGGGTTGAGGACAGGAATGAGACTAGGTTAGGTTAGCTTGGTTAGCATTACGCTAAAAAACTATTTCAATGTCTCAAATAACAAACAACGGTCACAGGAAACTTTAAGAAATTGAGCACCAAACCAACGAGGGTATTTATGGGTATAAGGTTCTATTTAATATTTGGTTGGTCACAGATTTGATGTGGTTGGATGTGACTACACGTTTCCGAGACATGTTCATATGTTAATTACCCGCACAGAGTTCACAGAGGAAAACCAGACTTTATTACTTTTCTGTACATGTGTACCTGAATACATGTAAGATGGTCCTGAACGCTGCTGAGTGGATGCAGATATGATTAAAATCAGCAGTACCTTGGTGTTAACAGGAAATATGAAGTATTTAAAGGAGTAAAAACAGGAAATTGTAATTTAAGCCCTGATAACAAAACACATTAAGTTTTCATTAGCTAACAAAGACTGATGGATGGTAGTTTGGCCAGCTGGCCATGTCCTGCTGCCCCAACATATTTCCCATGAGAGAAACAACAATTTAGTGAGTGTGAGTTTTTGTGAGTGCAAGTTTGCATAAAGTGTGTTTGCAGACTCTTTCAGCGTCCTAGTCCTTGACTCAGGGGACTAATGCACGTCTGTTCCACAGTGTGTTTGCATATAAAAATACTTCCACATGCTTCCTGCACATACCGCCTGCTCCACTGTATTAGCTGCTGTGACAATGATGCTGAACATGATATTCAGCATCATTTTATTCAGTATTTCATATAACTATATATGCATTACCAGCAGTAGTAACAGCATGTTTTTAAATGCTTTGTATCTGATGATATGACAAATGTATTTCACTCCAAAATGCTTTTTTTTTCAAGAGCTATAAAATGTGTTACTTTAGTCCAAACTTGTTACCTCACATATCTTTGCAGAAGAATGTATTTGTTGTAAAACAGATGTGCAGCAGGGAATGGAAAATCAAAGACTAGTGTTTTTCCTTGAGCACATGCACAGTTGGGAGTTACAGCCAAGTGCAATATTTTCTCTGTTGATACTAAGGTTTTCAGTGCTTTGGTGTTGTACAGCTGTGCTGTAATTTGAGAAAAACATAAGCTAAGTGCTGTTTCTGAAGCATTACAAAACAGCGTCAGTGCTGTGTTTTTTATAAATGCGTGTTGGCACACATGATGACAGTTCAAAAATGCTCATCTGTGTTTGGATCGAATCAGCTAACTCTAACCGTGATGCAATGTGTTTATTTACTTTTAAACAAAGCCACCATCTTTTCCTAACCCTTACCAGAGAGCTTTTGTTGCCTGAACCCAACCCCGATTACCTCCTGTGGCTCTGATGCAACTCATAAACGTAGCACTTAATTCACTCAAAATAAAGTTGCCGCTGAACATAATCCAGCCAGTGATTATGTTGCCACCACAATGTAATTAAGAAAACAGTTTCGTAACATGAGCTTCATTTGTAGGAAACAGGTTTCATGTGTGGGTTGCCCAGTCCCTGTACAAAGGGCATCACAGTAATTAAGAGTGACAGACATAAGTCACATGTTACAGAATGTTGGATGAGCAACCCATTAGCCTCAGACAGCCCACGTAGTACTATGGCTAGCTTGGTTAGCATTACGCTGATCACAAAAAAACTATTTTAATGTCTCAAATAACAAACAACAGTCACAGGAAACTTTAAGAAATTGAGCACCAAACCAACGAGGGTATTTATGGGTAAAAGGTTCTATTTAATATTTGGTTGGTCACAGATTTGATGTGATTGGATGTGACTACACGTTTCCGAGACATGTACAGTACATATATGAAATACCCGCACAGAGTTCACAGAGGAAAACCAGACTTTATTACTTTTCTGTACATGTGTACCTGAATACAAGCTTATATGTCTGTGTGTATTGCATCTACCATGCCTCACTCTGTGAGACCTGAGACCCCTGGATGGTAGTAAAAGATGAAGATTGATGGCTTTGAAACCCAATAAAAAAGTCTTGGTAATGTGCAAAGCATCTGTTGGTGCGGAGCAGCTGTCAGGTAAAACATGGCATACAGGAGCCAGCAGAGCATTCATTTGATCTATGGGAGTTAAATGGACCTTGTTATATTGAGACTAACACACACATTCAAAGCAGAGTCTGACCTTTTCCTATTACAAGCCTACTTTTCACTTTTCACTTTTCTCTGCGTAACTTCCTGGAAACGTTCTTCAGAATTTCCTCTTTAATCATAATCAGCTTTTTAGTCTTTTGCTGTTAATAACTTGGACATTTAAAGCTGCAACGTTAAAATCAAAACATCAAACTGAGCTCACCAAGTGATGCCAGCACTGCCACTGTGATGATGAGGAATACAACGAATCCATAGAGGACTTTGACAGCCAGTTGGAGAGAATGGCTCTGCTGGCACCTCACACAGCCACCTCTGGTGCGACCTGGACACACAGTGAATGAATGTAAACGTGAATATGTGTGAGTGAGTGGACTACTGATCAAAAACAATGATGCGCAAACAAAAAACCCCCATAAAATTCATAAAAGAAATGAACAAATATCCATTCCCCTTCCTTTCATGTAAATTACCTCCATGTAAATATCATTTTTAGCCATTTAGAGTGTGTTACAGCTTTAGCCACACCCAGCAGTGATGTAACAGAGTACTCAGTACACTTCTACATCAGCACAGTATGAAGTTATACCAATAAAAGTCAAACTAACTGGCTGGTGTTGTTCTTTAAAAGATAGTTTGGGCTTATCATAACTTGGATCTTATTTTCATAGCTTTGACCATCAGCTCCATTATTCTGGGGATGCTGCAACTGCACCTAAAATAAGTCAAGAAACATGAGCTGTCAGGAAGTCATGCAGGTTTTAAACAAACCCTCAAGTTAGTCACACTTATTTGAGGAGGAAAACTGAATGATCTCCGGGGTTAATTCTGACTTACTTGGTGCAGTTATGCATGCACTCACACAGTTTTTGCGCGCAATGAGGTATTATTATTGACCTTGCAGGTTCTCTGCCAATACTGTTGGCTGGTGATCATCTGACCACTGACATGCATGTCTTTTGTCCCATAAAACTTGTCTTCCCAAACCTAAGTAATTACCTGCTGCAGAGTTATCATAAGAGATGGAAATAAAATGAAAGTGAGAACCGAGTTGCAAGGAGCCAAAGTCAGATTCAGGCATTCACACACAAGCCATGCATGCACACAAATGGCCTGTGTGTACATAACATGTCACTGTTGAAACAAATGACCTTGTTTGTTGTTGTTAGACTTGTGTGTATGTGTATGTGGCCCTCACCTCTAAATGAAGGCATTTCCTCTTCCTCTCCAGTGAAGTCCTCCTCTGAAAAACAAGACGAGGAAAACATGACAAAATGAAAACATGATGTTTTACTACTGACAGCACAAACTTGACTCCTTGAAGTGTTTTTTATCAATTCCTATTTATCAGTTAAATTGTCAGTTAAAATATCCTACAAATGGCATGTAAAACAACTCAAGATGGTTGTATGATTGTAGAGTTGGTCTAGAGTTGTGCCTTGATATTATAGCACTACATCCATCAAATTTAGGTTTATTTACCTTGAATAACATGTTTGTTTAGTGTCAGGCACTTCGGTATAAAGAGTCTCCTATTCATAGTTGCAATTCGGATGTTTCTGTTCATGTTATTTTCAAATCATAAAGTGGTAATTAAGATGGATTAACTCCACTATGTATGTAAGACTCATTTACCTTTCTCTGACATTAATGAAGCTGTGTGTGCAGAGGCAATTGTCACCCACAGATTCCATAGACAATACCATGATTTTAACAAGAGTGCCGATCATGTGTGATGAACTGGTTGACACCTTGATCATTACCTTTGAAAAGCTGGTTCTCATATCCACCATAGTTATCTGCCAAAAAAAAGAAAGAGAGGCAAAACACAAAACAGACATTTAGAAAAACGGACTGACTGAAACTAATTCTGCTGGAGCCACCAACAAGTTTTATTACTCCTGTCATAAATCATAAAAACCAGCTGCCTCACATTCCCCCACCCTCTCCCCCTGAAGTCTCCGTGTTGTGCAGTGTGTTTGGTATGAGGCGGCTATCTTAGAAAAGTACAACAAAAATGCCTGTTTTTGTTCTGCTCAGATGTTTTCTCTGAGCGGTTCCTCGCTCAGGAGAAACAGCCCCATGGTGGTACAAAGTATGAGAACAGTTGTTGGTTTTGTGCGCTGACTCTAGTGGGAGTATTGTGCGTGTTACGTGTGCATGTGTGTCTGAGGAGGTTGTCAACACACACTCGAGGTGAAAAAGGCCAGAGTGAGCATGACAGAATATAACCAGAGGGCTTAATAAACCACACAAATACAGCTAAATTTAAAGTCCCAGAATACATTCAACGTCGTGTTTTTATAACTGTATGTAACAGGAATGGACTCTATACAACACGTCATTAACTGCACACCGCCCGAACCCCACACCTGAGGGACTGCGGAGCTTGATGTTAGGAAGCGGAAACACTCGGTGGAACTGCAGGGGAGGCGATTTCTGAAGGAAAAGCGCTGGGGAACAGACTCAGTCGCAGGAAAACAGGGGTTTGGCAGGTTGCTGACAAGCCGAAGAGAGACAGTTGGACATGTTCCTGTGTTGATGCAGCCAAAGGAGCTGCAGCCTTTAAGCTAACACTGTCAGACTGAGTTGTCAGACTGCTGTATGATGTAATGTATATAGACATGTTGAAGACTCACTTTGTCTTTGCACCTGAACATGATTGACTTTGCAGGGATGTTTCTGATTGTGGAAAATGTGGAAAATGTGTTGGCTGACTCCAGACAGATGTGGTGTTATTTAAAGGAGTAGTCCAAGGAAAAGCTATACTGTAAGCTGTGAGTACAAATACTTACCTCCTGTAAAGTGTAAGGTACCGCTGAAGTTGTTTTGTTGTAAGCAAACGGGGCATAATCTGATCCATCCTTCCAAGAAGACCAACATTAACACTTGTTTCAGCAGGTTCCCGATCACTACATATGGTCAGGTGACAAAGCCCTCTAGTGGCTGTATTGATTATTTTCTTGTCCCCTGGAGTCACTTCCTTATCGTTGTGAGTATTTGCAGCGCACGTGTCGTCAAATTAACGAAGACTGAATTTGTTTGTGTTTTGTCTGTTTGCATGTATTGCATGTATAAGTTGCAGTGCGTTGAGCTCTCAGGGCCACCGTACTTTTGAACCCATACTTGATGAGTGTTTTGTGCTCACATGAAAGTTTTAATGGCGTACTCCTTAGTATAAGCAACACATTTTCGTTTATAGGTCAAATGTTTAAATACTGTTTGTATCTAAGAAACATTAAGTGTGGATTTACTCGGTTTATAGTTCATTTTGAATTGTAAGAACTTTTTCTTTTTGTTTAGTTCCACATCTTTCTGAAACCAAAATGTCTGCTGTGGTTAACCACATCATCAGCTCAACACAAAGGGAAGTCTGGCGTCTGATGGGGAGAGAACCAGAGAAAAATGGCTTGAAAGGTCATGAAACTGGTGGTAGTTTCCACACAATGTCTGATGACAGTCTGATCCACGTCTATTAAAAGATACAAGGTTGTTCTCCAGACAGTTTTAGAGCTTTTTACCTACCTCTCAGCTACTGCATATGCAGTGTAATTCAATAGTTAACCTCTATTCACCGTCTATGAGAAGAAAATAACAGTGTTCAAGCAGCGTGATGATATGATGGTGAAACAAACAGGGTCATGTTTAGGTTAGGGTTAGGTTTTAATGTTAGGTTTTGCACAAGTGAACTTATTGCTTATTATTATTTGGCTTAAACCAAATAAAGAAAATATATCCCCTAAAATAATGTTAGTAAAATGCAGTTTAGATAGAACAAAGCACACTTGACATGCTAACATCACTGTGAGGTGAATGTTTATATGAGTCAGTGGTGGAACAGCTGAGGTCAGGTCTGGGTGGACAAGTCACAAAACACTGAGGCTGACATAATGACGGAGGAAGGGGAGCAGGAGGGGAAGAGGTGGAGGCAATTGTGTACAAAAAAAAAACTAAGGCTGCAATGAGGTAAGTACATCAAAAATAGAAAAGTGACAACATTGAAAATGAAAAAAAAGTCAGTTGATTCTCTGAAGTTGACACGGGGAAGACTGACCTGCGCAAACTCTGATGTTTACTCATACATACAAGTATCGGTACCTTCAGTTGAAACCATGCTGATACCAAAAATGACACATAAAAACAACCTGTAGCCGGAGAGCCTGTCAATCTGACCTAACTTATATTTTTATATTGACGGTCGATCAATTGGCTGTGCGTATTGTGAGTCACTCAGTAAGGATTGCCAGTCAATCCCCTCAGCTTTATGGAGCATTTTAGTGTCTTTCACCTCATTGTTTTGGTTTTACAACCTGCAACTTTAACCCAAAACCCTTGTTTTAAGCAGCAGCCGGCAGCTGTTTTCAGTGGAGAAGTTCAGAGGAATCCACTGAACACTAACTGTCCAACAACAAACAGCAGATGGACAAAGTTAGCGACTAGTGGTGTCACATTTGATAGCTAGCCAGAAACATGACTTCTGTTTGCTAACATGTTCATCAACTTTGTAAGGTGAAAATATGTAAAAGTTGGGTTTAGACCGTGTTCTGCTGCCCCCTGGTGGCCAAAAATAAAATTAATTTTCACTGCTTTAAAAGCGGAACACACAAAATTGTTCACCAATGTTTTTCAAAGAGAAGGAATAACATGTGAAAAAAGATTCAAAATGTAAATGCCCAACTTCAGTACGAGGGCAGTAGTGGCAGTAAGACTAAGAGTGTCGTAGGGGTAGTGGTAACATAATAACACACAATACCCTGCATTTCAGTGGAGTTTTTCTCAGCTTTCCCGGTCGAATTAAAACACATTTCTGTGGGAAATCTGAATTCTTGTCATTTTTTGGACTTCTGTGGTATGAAAATGGCCAGACACAGATTTTTGAATGTCAGCACATTATTTTCTATTGCAAGCTGGAATTCCAAAATATCACAATCAATAACTAGCCTCAAATATTCATTGGCTCCTTCGTTATATCTCTCCTCCTTCACCTCCCTCCCTCTTTGCTGCTCTTTCCCCTCCTCATGTTTTTCCCGCTCTCTGTGGAAAAAACCCTAATGTCTGTCTCGTTAGTGAGGAAGTCGACCTGTCCAACACACACACACACACACACACACACACACACACATCAAGAACTGAGCTGATCTGACAGCAGCACAACACAGCTCTACCAGGTCATACCTATACAGGCAGGTCATGGCAAAACATGGTGGAACTACTAAATATGTATTTGGTTCCGTCTGAATCAGCGTACGAACAATTTGTTTGTCGAAAATACACTTTGGTTTGACTATATTTAGAAGTTTCATGTGAGTTGTTTTTCACCAACAACCAAATCGGTCAATTATTTGGTGCAGCAAAGGATTTTCTCTCAAATTAAATAAACACAGAGCGTCTTTCATGATGTTTTTACCAGATAAAGCCCTTTGCTTTGTAACTGGCTGGGATCAAGTCATTTAAAAACACATTAACACAAGGTTTGAAATAACTGGTTTCAAGTTATGACAGATGCTCAAACTTAAACCCAACCTGCCAGTCTGGATCCCAACACAAAACAGGATTTAATAGCTGTATGATAAATACCTTATGTTTAAGTTATGGTTAAGGTTAAGCAAACACGTGGTTAAGATTAGTGAAAGCTTGTGGTCACAGTTAATGCAAAAGTGATTAATTAGAGAGCTGTGATGGGAAACAAACCCCGATCATGAGCATGAAAGTCAGACCCGCAACATGCCCACCCACCAACCTCACCCCCCTGACCCTAACTTTCCACCTCGCTGCATAAAGGGAACACCACTCCCTATATGGCGTAAATCTAAACCACTGATCTGGAAAGATGACATGGGTAACAGGATGACTGGGTATCAAAATTATGAGGTAAATGTAATTTGAGTCTGTGGGTAATTTTGGTGTCTGTGATTTTAGCCATGTTCATTACTTTACATAATAGATTTCAATATTATGAATAAATACATGAAGGCCTAGTGTGTCATTAACATGGTTATATTTTATGGTAAAGCCTGTAAACTAAATATAGATTATTAGCAGTTAATGGTTAAAACCGACCTAACAAGACCAGGTTTTTGGGTTGTTTATCCAGACTGAGAGGGAGACAGAGGATGGAAAAGTTTGGTTGCAGTTTGAATACACACAGAAAGTCCAGCCAGAGTACACTTAGCTGTAAGAAGAAGTAAATATATATACAGCAAGGATGTGTATTTACAGGAGAGGAGTGAGCTCAATCCAACAAAACTAAACATTTCCAAAGAATTTTCCAATACTGAACAGTTAATAATTCAATAAAAGTACAATAAGGTCGGGGAAATTACCATATCTTCATAATCTGCCAGGAAAACTCTTTGTGACAAATCATATCATACGGCTGTTTTGACAATTTGTCCCTTTGTTTTGTAATTAAGTGGAGAGCAGCTGACCACTCTGCTCCGGTCAAGGTCACTGAACTGAAAATACACCGCTGCTCTCCACAGAAATACCACATTATGATTAAATGTTGTTTTGCTCATATGTGATTGTTGAACATCAACAGCCCCCTACTCTTCTGGGAGGGCCCGCCACCTACAAGGTTTTGGTCCCAATCAGCCACAAGAGCATTGGTGGGGTCCAACACCGATGTTGAATGATGAAAGTCCCAGGGCTGAACAAAATGCAAAAAAAAAAGTTTTTACAGATATTTTGATTGCAATATGAGTCATAATTTCAGCTGGAACGGTCATTTTTGCATTTACCTTTCACTGAAAAAGATACAAAAATGATGATGATGTGATTTTATTTGGGGCTTGTATCA